GGTTAAGTGAACGCAGTCATCGTCATCACCCGGAGACGAGAAGTGCGAAAGGCCACGATGAAGGTCGGCAAAGAAGGAGTGGGCGCCATCCATTGGGGCGATATAGCGCTTGACTTGGGCGACATTGAAGGGGCGAGCCGCACCGATCTTGACATCCTGTATGTATACAAGTTTCTTGCTGGCGTCCATCCCGAGTACCGTAAAGGGACCGAGCCATTCGCCAATGCGGTGATTGACGATTTTCTCATTCCAGACTAGGACTTGATCGCCAGGGTCATAAGCGCGGTTTGCAGCAAGTGGCACAGAATGTCGCAAACCTCGTGCAACGCGTATCTTAGCCATGATGCGCTGCATCTCAGTGCGGGCAGCGTGAACCATCGCAGCACGTTCCCCAAGAGTATCTCGGGGCTGAGGCGTTTCCGAGGCAGTGTAGACGCGAGGTAGTTCTCCGAAGACGAGGGACGATGGGACGAGGCCTTTTGGTCCCAGAGTGTCGTTCATGGCCTTGATAGCCATCTGAAGGAGGAGCGTCTTGTCCACGTTCGGATATACGAGCACCATCTTGCGGAAGGTGGTACGGACTGGTTCATGATACCGTTCCCCGATTCCAAGGCTTGAGTGCGCTTCTATTCCCGTGCCTTGAACTTCTACGTTTGCTCTTGCGGCAAGGGAGACGAAAGGCTCGCTTTTGCCGAGGTTGCTGCCTTGGTCGACCAGTATCCGATTGGGAAGACCGGTGTAGATCGAGGCCCAACAGCGAAGCAGGGTGTCCCAGATTGCCTTGGTGCTAACATTGGGGAGGAAGCGGGCTGCTGAGAAGCGGGTCGACTCGTCAACGATATGCAAGATGGGCATGGAGTCGATGTACATGATATCCATCATGATCCTCTCGTTAAAGCGGGCGTTTTCGGTACCAAAAGAGACGCGGAAGCGGGTAGGCCCAGGCTTGATTCGTTGGCAGGGATCACAGCGCTTCGATATATCCCGAAGGATATGGAGCGTCTCTGGCGTCGCATCGTCAGGGCGGGCCTTCCTTAGCAAGTTGAAGAGCTTAGTGGCGGATGGGTGAAAGAACTGGCTGTGCAACTTGTTGAGCTGTGCCTTTGTGAAGTAGTTCCGTGTTCCACAGTCAAAAGGGACGTAGACGTGCCGGCTCGGTGAGCGGACAAGGGGTATGAACCATTCATCGACATAGGTCATACGCCCGTCTTCTAGTTCGTTTGCCGATCGTCGAGCCAGTCGGTTGAAGACTGTATCGGCGACGAGCTTCTCTCGGTCCAAGACATCCATGCCCAGCAAAGGTGGGATGTTTGCCTGGACGATGTCAAACTCGATAAGGATGGGTTTGACACCCGGCGGAGTGGCGAGGGGCAGGGAGATTTGTCCAAGAGACTGGAAGGATTCGTCCCCAAAGCGGAAGCGGCGTACCGAGCTGCAGATGTTGCGGCGGTGCATTCCAGCAGCCGCCAGGAGTCGGTTAAGCTCTTGCTTGCCGACAACCGACTTGGGGGCACCTATATCAACGCAGAACCCGAGAGGCCGTCGTGAAGAGCATTCACGTTGGAGATCCGCCGCGAAGATCTTTGTGCAGTCGATGTCAACGACCGGAAGTTTGCGGCGAGGAGTCGCAGTCCTATGTTGATAGGACGATCGGTTTGGGCGATGAGGACTAGCGACTTGTCCACATCGCCTTAGCGAAAATCCGCAGAGAGCATCTGCTCTGATACGCTGGCGGATACCACGTTGGTGACCACATCACCGTCGAACTCGTCGGTGTAATACGGGGCATGGTCACTAACATCACGAGCATAGTACAGGGCGTCGTCCAGCTCCTTTGCCGCAGCGTTGTCTCCCTCCGTCCCAGGAGGGGCGGAACCCTCATGAGGTTCTTGTTCTCCCTCCATTCCGAGAATGTAGTCTCGGATGATGTGGACGTGAGATTCACCCTTGCGGAGTCGGCTGCGCGCGCTGGCAGCAATTGCCCCTGCGTGGCATCGATGGCCGGGCAGCCAAGGAGCGGCACACTTGAAACATTCCTTGCGACGGCGCGCCTCGTCGAACGTGCGCCCATGGCGGACCTCATTGCGGTCCGGAGGCGTGCGAGACGATGGCGGGAATCGGGGCCGATCGGGACGGCCCGGCGGGCGGTTAGACATCCGGTTCCGAACGTCACGGGGATTGCGGCCGTAGCGTTGGAAGAAGACATCAGCAGCTTGTTCCTCGTCCATCTCCGTGCTGTGTGTGGGATACGCGGGCGGGCGCACATCCTTGAGCTCGTTGGAGAGCTGGAGGCTCTCATGTAAGGCCGTTACGAACGCGTGGAACTTGTAGCGATGGGAGACGATGTTGCGAATGGGAGAGAGCGCCCATTCACAACCGAGAACAGCCTTTCGTAGGAAACGTATCTTGTTCTCGTCTGATCGGAAACCAGGAGGGCATTGCGGGGTGAGCAATTCCAGGTACTCGACCAGCTTGGTCAGGCCATCAGAGTGGGTTGTCAGAGAGCGAGTGGACATGAAGGTGTCTAAATTGAGACATTCAAGGGTGGACTGGACCTGGAGCTGGCGTGAGTCGCTGTCGTACTCGCGCTTCATTAGCTCAACCACCTGCTCATAAGCCATTCCTTGAGCGTAGTGGTTGAGGAAATAGGTACGAGCCGGGCCCTCGAGGACATTCATGAAGTACTCTGCCTTCTGCGCAGGAGTTAGGCGGTGCTGATGTGCGCATGCCTCGTAGTCACGTAGCAGGAGGTCCACGGACTGACTGAGGTCTCCCTTGAACTTCCGACCAGAGAACTGCTGGTGCACGTAGTTTGCTTTGCGAGTGTCACCGGTGTCCATGTTGGGTTCGTGCGCAGTCGGGGAATTGTCTTGGCCGTTCTGCGGACGCTGGTCAAATCTAACGGGTCCGCCCTGGCGCATGTCCCCTGAAGCCGCGTTGGGCGCCAGGTTATGACTGGTGGCACGTTCATAGCCATGATTGAAGCGGTTGTCAAAGTCAACCGCTCCGCTTCTAGGGCCACGGGGGGGCCGTGAGATTGCTGAGGGCGTACGGGGGGGTAAGGTTCCTGGCGCCCTAATAGGATCTTTGGTCGTGGGCGCAGTTGCTATGATGTCGGTATTGAGAGCTCGCCGAGAAGGAAGTGAACGCGCCTGCTGGAATCTGTCTATGACAGAGCGGGTGGAGCTGGGGTCTAAACCAAGGACAAAGGCAAACCAGGCTTGGATCATGATGCTCTTGTGGGCGCGTTCGTGATCTCTGATGAACACTTGGGCCAAGAAGTCGTCGGGAATTCCATCAAACCGAAATAGCTCGGCAATGCTGTACAAAACCTTGAGTGGGAAGACCGGGTGGTTGAAGTAGTCGGCCGTGAAGACGGAAGAGGGGCTAGGAAGCATATCAGACATGGCTTCGCATACCTCCAAAGGGTCCGGCATAACGGCAGCGGTGGTTCCAGAGCTCTGCGGAACCGTGAATAGTTCGAGCACATTCCGGGCGACCCCGAGGTACTGACGATGAAATTCATCCTCGTCTTGGACGCACTTCGCCATCTTCTGAAGCCGAAAGTATATCTGAAAGGCCTTGGCTTTCGTCAGAATGACCGGAGCGGTCTCTTGACCGTTGTCGGCAGCGGGCGGACCATCGGTGGCGGAAGAGCCAACCTGAGACATCTCCTAGTACGTCAGAAAGGAGACGTAGGGGGGTGAGAATCACAAGGAAAACCCTCGAATCCGGATTGTCGTCGAAAGGGGGCCTTGTGCTTCGCGTGCACTGCTCTCTGTACGATCAGGGAGCGGGATTGGCGCGCGGGGAAAAGGAGAGAAAGGATGGTATGAGAAGGAGAGTAGAGGGGGGGGGTGAGTGATCCGGCGTTGCGCCTTCAGAGGTGAGAACGGGCTCCGGCTTGTGCCTTCGCAGACTAGAGTAGCGTAGAGTTGCTTGCTCGAGTTGTTTATTGTTCTGTCTCTCGGCGTGGGGAGCTCGGACGTGGGCGTAGTACATATAGGTCCATGTAAGCTTGCCGTCTGCGGGGACGGTAAGCTTACAGCCCATGTTCTGTAAGCACGCGGGATATCAATACCCAAAAAGGTGCATGCACCTTTTTGTGCGGTGTTATCATATCAAATACGCCGTACAGTATATATGCGCGTGCGCGACAAAACAAGTGAAAAAGTGGCCCCGCACGAGGTCACGTGTCCTCCTCGCACCGCCAGCCTTCCGTCCTTCTAAAACAGCTGAAAAGCAACTGCAAAAGTGGCCCCGCATTTGGTCACTTGTCCTCTACGCACTGCTGGCTGGCACCAGCCTTCCGTCATACCTCCCGGTATCGAAAAAAAGGGCCCGTCCCTCCGAAGCATCTGAAAAAAATTTGAAAAAGTAGCCGCGCACCCGCCCGCGACGTGGCGCTCAGCGTGCGGCCCGGGGGCAACCGCCAAAGGAGGCCCTCCTTGTCCAATGGGCCCGCCGGCCGCTTGTGTAAGCCACCTCCTTACACCCCGCCTCCCCCCACCGTACACGTGTGGCCCGGAAGCAACAGCGAGCCTGTCCAATGGGCCCGCCGGCCCTCCGTGTAAGCCGCCTCCTTACACCCCCGCAGCGGCCTCCGCAAAGTGGCCGACAAGTAAAAGCTCATCGGCCGTGGCCCGTGGCCTCCGCCATACAGTAGCACCGTCCGGGAGAGCCCGGCAATTTCATTCCAACCGACGGCACCTGTGCAAAATCGCTAATCCCTACGGTCTGCACCATAGAAGCATTGCTCCAGATTGTGCAATGATTCTCGCACCGACGGATATCCGTCGTCGAAGTGTTCACTCTGTATTCGACCACAATCTCCTCGCTTTGTCTCCAATGGCGGTGCAACTTCCCTCTCTCCCCAAGCTATGACCCTGCAATTAAAACCCTGCTTTGTGCGTCGTCAAAGTTGGGTGCGCGTGTCTGGCTTGAAGCTTCGTCTGCAAATTGTGAGACAGCTTCTTCCCGTGCGACGACTTCAACAGGAATCAGCCCGCGTTCCTGCGGAGGGGGCCGCCTTCTTCGATGAATCTTAAGGCACAGTCAGAGGCGCCCCCGGATTCCCTCCGCAGAGAGCAGTGTAGCTGTCTTTTCCGAAAACGATTCATACCCATTCAATGCACGCACTGGTGAACATGCGTGCACGGACACCAATTACTCTGCTGTGCCTCCTTTGAATTTCCTTAAACCTGGTCTGTGGTCGAGCCTTAGCTCAATGGACTCCGCATATGTTCGGGTTGCCATCCACATGCATAAAACGAACAATGCAACCATGCCTCCCCACTCTGATAGATCGCTAGACCTAAAGCAAAAACGCTTCATGACTGACTCCCAAGACGCCGAAAAACGCTTCAAAGGGTTCGCTTTTAATCTTACTTCTGGTCCGACCCTGCCACTGGTATTCCGAAAACGGCCTAGAATCTAAGATAATCCAGAGTGTTTATCCTCGATTTTAGTCAAATCGGGGTGCTACAACTTCGTTTTATGGATGGTGTACCCACCCTATGTCTGCTATATGTGCGAGAGCCCCAAGACTAGAGAGAACAAAACAAAAAAAGAAAAAAAAAGGAATTGCAATCTCTGTCTTTCGTGTTGATCGCGGATGCAAAATAAGCTGCCCGCCTGCTGCGGATGGAAACTTAATCGAAAGTTTGGTCAAGTTGTCAGAGGAAGAGTTTCAAATTTTTCGAGCACACTACCGTGCCCCGTCCCAGTGATATTTCTGAGAACGTCGACTGGTCCTTGCACACCGGACCTGCTTCACAAGAAAACTCAGAGCGTGCTGCGTGGCCTGGATTGTTTTCCAGTCGGCATTCGAAGTTAACGGAAATTCTGTTCATCGAAGCTCTGTGCATCGTATAGAACCGAAAGCCCTCTATCACTGCCCACCCATCATTACATTCGGAGCGTATTGCATGGGCCGTATTTCAGGGTGCTGTTGGAAAATGACAAAAAACACACACATTGATAGTGAGATAATGGGAGAGTTAGATTTTCATGACATTTACAAAAATGTCTTTCTGGCGGCAAAACAACCGTAGAAACAAGGTGCGACGTTGGTGTAAAAGAGTGACTTACCGGGACAGCTGAGAACTGGACAAACTTGGGTTCCATCTTGTGGTCAAACTTGATGAATGCCCCTTGGTTCCCCATCTGATCACAGTAGTTGGGAGCCGAGAAAATTGTAATTAGTCGTCCTTCTGCTTGGACCTCATAGCCTTTGTCTTTCATTTCATGGGATCGAACAATGATGTCCAGCCCGTTGTTGTCCAGAAAGCGATGGGTAACATCTGGACCGAAAGCAACGCCAATACCGCGTTTGGAAACGCCCCAGCCGTTCTGGTCTTGGGGATCACTCCAGAGCATTTCTGACATGATACCCGAGTCCGGCTCACAATTTCGGTTGATTTGGTTAATTTCATCTAGGGTAACACCGTCCTTTGAGAACAGGCCTCCATGGACGATGAAGGCCTTGCGACCATCCTTCTCACCAGAGCCGTCAAGAATAAAGGCAAGGGGAAGGCTTTGGAAGAATTCCGAGAATAGACTGAAGACAGTGTTGGTATACTTGGCTTGAACCTCGCCCTGGAAACCGTAGATGCGGTTCATATTTTGGGATTCATGATTACCGCGAGTTAGATGAATAGCCTCTGGACACCAGACTTTGATGGCCAACAGAGTTAAAATAACCTCGACGCTGAACGAGCCCCTATCAACAAAATCGCCGTTAAATACGTAAGGGTTGGTAGCGGACGGCATGCCATTCTCCTTAAAAATCGCGTTTGTGAGATCATAGTACTGGCCGTGGACATCGCCGCACACCGTAATCGTATCGGCTGCATTGACCGGGATCTCGACGATATTTGGCAATGCGTCCATGATTTTCTTGGCAGCGAGAATGATGCTCATGGCATACTTGAGATGCAGGGTCTTTTGGGCTTTGAAGGCATCCACCAAGGAGTGGATAAAGTCCTCGGTTACAACGCCGTCATCCTGTATCCGGGGACCAGAGTAGGAATCATCGACGGTGATGGTGGCGACATCAACGGTGTCGCAGACGCTAACCCTCAAAGAATCACTCTCAATGGCTTTCGCAAAAGCAATTTCGCGGATGCGCTTGTCACATTCTTTCAGTTTGAGGAGAGCGTCTTTGTCGCCCGGGAGCATCTTGATGATAAGGGCGTAATCCTTCTTTGCCTCCTTGTACTTGGTGAGTGCAAATTGAGCGCCGGCTCTGCGGTAGTAGCCCTTCACGTAACCGGGATTCATCTCGATAGCGGCAGTGGCATCGATGATGGCATAGCCATATTGCTCAAGTTTGATACTGGTGGCGGAACGATTGCTATAGAGGACAGCTTTGACCTTGCCGTCGGCGTTCGTCTCGATGGCATGGTCGATGGCCCATGTGTAGAGCCCAGCGGCGTCGGCGAAGCGGTTCGACTTAAAGGCGTCGTTGGCCTTGGCCTTGATCTGGTCTACGATGGACGTCATTGGGAAGGGGTGTGGAATGAGGACAGGAAGGCGCAGATGGTTGGAGGTGTTGCACCGCAGGGGCGGTGGGCACAACCTGCTGGACGAGATGGATGAGAGAGAGTGGGGGAAGAGCGCAGGCACGTTGAGACGGAGGAATGATGGGTGAGAGGACGACGGGGGACGGAATGGGGGGGGGGGGGAGTAGTTGGAACTGTGTGAAGGAGTGAAGGTGAGAAGTACACTCGAAATGGAGAGAAATATGTGAGATGGTTGCGTTTCTGGAAGTGTTGCAGGGGAGGGGGAATTGTTGAGTACAGTAGACTCGGGGGACGGGCGGCGGCACGAAAAAGTGCGAAGACGACAGGGGGGGCGGATCAAATGATAAACTGCGCTTTTTGGGGCACATTCAAGAGCGTACACTTGGCGCTATTTCAGTGGTTTTTTGATGGGAGCGGGGACAAATGTGGAAGCGGCACGTGTCCGGAAGAGATTAACCTCAGATTCAAGTCCAGGACAGTTTCTGGAGGCGGTGATCTGTAATTGGATGCGAGTTTCGGCATAGAAACGTGAAGCGGTCCTGGCAGTTGCCCAGTTCGAGGCGGGGAGCAAGAAGAGCGGGACCAGCGGGGGCGCTACGCGCGCGGTGACCCACACGCGCCGGTTGTGTCCGCGTTGCTGAGGGGAGACGACTATGGCACAGCCATTTGCCACGTCGCGCAGGGCTTGTATTACGACGCGTCCCGCACGCGCCACCACCTCATAAATTTCCTAATTTCTCGCTTGCTTGCGTGCACAACATCCCGCCCCTCACGCCCCGCTCTGTCCAGCCGCAGCCCCCACTGCTGCCCCGCGCCGCCCCCGCAGAGGTCCAACGCATTTGCGCCGCTGCCCTCAACTTCGCAAGTCGCTGGCGCCCCCGCGCACCTTACAACTTAGCTCCTCACCCCGCCACTACGTGCTCTAACTCACCGCCGCCGTCCGCCCGCCCCGACGACCATGGCCATCGCGTCTCCCAAGATCCTTTCCATCTCGCACTACCGCACTACCCTACTCTTCCCTCCCGTCCTCCACATTATCCCAAAGGTCGATGGCGTGGGCCTCCCACACTCGCGTCATGGCTTTCACGCCCTCCTCTCTCCCCATCGACGTCCCCCCAACCGTCATCGTCGGCGATTGCCTCATCGAGACCTACCATAACATCGCCGACGCCCCCTTTCTTTCCGTGCGCGAGCAACGGCGCAATCCTAGTAAGCCACTCGACCACGAGCGCTTTGACGGCCTCGACGACCGATGTCGCACGTGCATGGGACAGAAATCAGGTGGACAAATTTTGCTGTGCGATGATTGTGATCGTGCCTTTCACATCAACTGTCTCGTCCCAATCCCTAGCCCAGTTCCAAAGGGGGAGTGGCACTGTCCCAACTGCACCAGATATCGCAACCACACTGCCCATCTTCGGGCAACTGCCGTTGCATCATTGCGTCAGGTCACCGAAGACATCGAGACCCGTCCGCATCTACCCCCAAAGCTTCGAATTAAGCTGTTGGACCTTCCGGCCCCCGTAGTCACTTTCACATTCGCTCAACCCACCCTGCCGATCCCGCTTCAAGCATTAGATAACACCAACTGCCACACTAACCTTGCGTCCCGACCCGTTCACTCATTACCCGCAAACAAAAGGCTTCGGAAACCCCCGCAACCTTCCGTCTCCCCTTCTTCACACTTGAACGTTCTCGACCGCGTTCCCGTCTTCAAAAGCGTATCTCAGGAAAGCATCCTCAAGCGAAGAATCTACCTTTCCAACTTGTCCCGTGATCTCGCCCCATTGGCAGCCCGCCTTGGGAACGCCCACGCTATGAACTCCTTGCGCTGTTCGCAAGATTCCCTGGAAGCTGTCATCAGTAAGCAACTACAGAACTGCGCCTCGCAAATGAAAAGAAACACTCGTGCCTCATTGCATCGAAAACAACGGAACAAGACCCGAATCAGAAAGTCCCTCCCGCCCGCCCCGTGACGTCGAGGCTCATCTTCCCAACGTGGAGGCGGTAGCCTTGAGTCATGCCTCGTTATGGTGTACCGTAGTGAGATAGCTGCAATGGTTACGTGTTAAACACCTCTCCGATCCCGTCTGTCACTCATTACGTCGGTTTTGTTGTTGTTTTGCGTCAGTGCCCCTGTTCCTGCGAGCGTATACTCTGAGTCTCCAACTCTTGGCACACGAGGGGAGAGCAAACATCCTGCGAGCTTCCACTTTCCCGCTTTCCAAGTTAGATATTCTTGTGTCCACTCACGCCGCTCATTCATACGGAGTGGACTGGGCAGAGGAGCTGCTAAGAACTTTTTGAGATTGCCTTTTTAGATGCGTGTAGGATGTAATACAGTCGCGAACATCGTCAGCATGTCGGGCGGTCATGTAAATACGACGGGGTTTGGCGGTATCCTAACGGCGCAAGCTACATGTGAGGATTCGATCCCCACGATCGCGCGATTTCGCCGACGCCATTAAGTCATCTGCTACTCCGATTCCAACATGCACTGTCAAATCGACATGCCTCTGTACTGCACATACCGACGCATGCATGACGATCACGCCGGCCTTTCCTTCATAATGGTAGTCGCTCTCGGCACCCTACTGCAGTTGTGATAGTCGCAACTGCAGTAAGATGCCGAAAATAGCATGTGTTGCTGCTCATTGTTAACATGACACTTGAAACCACGAGATTCCCAAGTTGACACTATGTTGAACAAGTGCACAGCGTCACAGGGAATCTAAAATAGCTTTCCAAGAACTGCCAAGAAAGCTTTGCTTAACGTTACAGACTGGGGATTGAGACGAGAAGAGTCGGCGCGATGTCTTCCCGCCTGGGGAGCCCCGCCCGGGCTCCGATCTCACCAAGCTTCTTGGCTGCTACTCGGGAGGCAAGACAAAGCATTCGTTCATGAGACATGTTGGTCACGATTCCGTAGATGACACCTCCGATGAATGCATCCCCAGCTCCCGTCGAATCTACGATCTTCTGAACTGGCTGGGCTGGACATTTGATCACCTCATACGATTTGGAGTTCCTGTGCGATTGAACTACCGTACTTCGCACGATCATGTCAAACCCGTTACCCTTCTCTCGATCGTTCTCCCGTTGAACCATGATGCTGCCCGATGATCCCAGAGTGGTGATCACCATCTTGGCATCGCATGCCTCAAGAAGCATTTCCATCGCATCGACTTTTCCGGTTGCACCAGGGGAAAATACGAAAGGATAGACGCTGTTCGTGACAATGTAATCAGCATACGGAAGGAGATCCCGTATATAAGGTCGTTCACGTTCGACATCCAGTAGTATCGGAATACCTCTGTTTTTGGCAAACTTTGCGAGTTGTAAAGCTGCCAAAGTGTGCCTACCATCGAGGACGACCAAGGAGGCGTTGTCCAACATGGATTCATCAATTTCACTTACCAATAGATCTTCGTTGCTCGCGGTCGAGATGCACGTTCTCGTATCATTCTTGGTATCGACAATAACGTATGTGAATGAGGTGTTGACACCTTCTTTCGCCAAAACTAGACTGGTGTCAACGCCATCACCTTGTAATTCTTGAATCGCGGCGCTACCATACATATCTTTCCCCACTTTCGATACGAGAGCACAAGGCATGCCCAATCGTCGCACTGCCGTCAGTGTGTTCGCGGTGTTGCCTCCACCGAGTACGGAGACGCTAGTCGTGCGAACCTTATCGTCGGGCTTTGGGTATCCATCGACTGTGGCCAAGATGTCTACGCCTGACATGCCCAGCCCAAGGACGCGAACGGATTTAAGTTCAGGTGGGATTCGGACTATGGGAGGCCTAATTGTATCCATGTAAATCCGCAGGTTATGCAAGCGCGAAGGTCTTTTCTGGCACGTCTGTTTTGACAGCGAAAAAGAAGGCAGGGCAGGACTCCGAAACGGCAAGACATCCACAAAGCCAACGGATGAAGTCATAGCGGACTTCGTTCAATCCCTTCTTTCCTCGGGAAACGGAAGACAATCTTAGGCGGATGTTGCCCACGCTAACGAAAAAGGTGTGTGGTGTGTTGGGTTCCGCAGAGATGGGGACTGCGTCGCCATGGTGGTGGCGTTGACCCTCCGAGATCTGAAATGATGGGACGCTTCAATGCGGCACCATCCAATTGCGATGCAGTGATTTGTTGTACACGTGTGAATACAATTAATCATACTGGGGCACACCCTGCACCGTGGAGTGCATCGTGAGGGTTGGACATGCGAAGATGGTTTCCAGTTTAGTGGAGAGCGTGTGAACGACGCGTAGTCGTTATTTCTCCAAGGGGCGGTGTTTTGGAAACCAAATCCTCCAGTAAACTGTGGAGGCACAGAATATCTATAAAACTGTTGCACGACTGCAATCCTCCACGGCTAACTAGTTTGCCTGATTTAGAACACATTTCACACCAGTTTCTAGCTAGACCTATAAAAGATGGTTCTTTATGTGAATTGAGCAACGATAAAGGCGGCGAAAAAGGACGCCAGATATCCTTTCACAGACTTTGAAGGGCACAGGTGGCGAAATGTGATACTCGCTCATTCCTAGTTCGTGTCTCGGCACGGTATTCCGAAACAGCCCATGCAAGTTTCAGCAATAAAAAGATGAATTTGTGCAGCCTAGGCTAATTTTATTGCGAAGCAACAGACGATGCGGAGATTGGTGGCAAAGACATAGTGAAAATCTGTAAGTAGAAATGGATGACCTCGAACATTTTCCCTGTTTGCAGAAAGCGAGTCTTCCAGAAACCCCGTCTGACACCTGTCCGATGCGGCTCCCGAGGGTCGGCACAGTATTGAGATAAGTTTCTAACTGCAAAAGCGAGTTCGCATGTGCCAAAATTGCTTTCACGCACGTTGTGTGACACTAGCTAGATGATGAGAGAAAGAACCACCAATACAGGACTAGATCCCCTGAGTCTTTTTACGCCCCAAGATTCTGTTCCGCAAGGGCAGCGGGGACAAGGGCATGATGCAAAAGTTTATGAGCTTTTAGCTAAATTGTTTTTTGTTTTCCTCCTCATACCGGAAGCGGGGGTTTATTGGCGAGGAGCGTTTCCGTGATGCAAGGCCTTTCTGGCGTCCTTTCTTTGCTACTCGCACATCTACAGTATTTGCTTTCCACGTCACTGTGATAGCATTCGGGAGCTCTAGTTCCATCGGAAGGACGCAATTGCGCATGCCACAACGCATCTGCTATGGTATACAATATAGTCCAATGAAGGGTGTGGCATATTGCAGATTTCTGTTTGCGTAATCTCGCTATTGTTTCGTTTGGCAATTGTTGTGATGAACTCCCCCACACTGCTTAGACATGGCATGTCGCAACGACAGTGGTTGAGCGTGAATGTGGAACGTGGTGAGGGTTTTGTGGGAATCGGTGAGGACTAGATTGCGGGAGGGGCATTCGGCTGGCTGCTTGGCCGGGCAATTGGTCGTGATAGCTCGGGGGTTGACCGTTGGCGGCCCATGGGCAGATTGGCACAGAAAACACCAGGGGGTTTATATGATTTCTTGGATGGTTCGCATAAGGATGTTTCGCAAAAGGCAATGGGATATTTTGCGGAGCAACATTGCAGTGCCATATGGTGGTCATTTTTAATGCTAACAATAGCATGGGCACGCGCAAGCTCTGCACGCGCAGACTCTGGGGTGATCGAAACGCTCCACTAACAATAGCAGTGGTGCTATTGTTAGTGGAGCGTTTCGATCAGAAACGGGGGGGAGGTTTGGTGCTCAACGAGCACAAGTTGGTTATGCACAAGTTGGCTATGCATGCTTGGTGCATTCGAGGGCTACGCTCTCTGTCCTACTCTCGGTGTCCTGGGGCGGCAGGGTTTATCCGCGTGATAGGGAAGATGTTGTGTTAGTGGTGAACGTCTTTATCTGGTGGTGCATCTCGTGTGTCTCTTCAAATGGCCCCTGCGAGGCGCGTAGTTGGAGACTCCCAGGCTGGAGCATACGGTGTATTCGATATATTGGGGGGGAAGGCCTTGTGCATTTGTCGCTACAGCTTCCAGGTCGTGTGGAGTGTACTTGTAGAGGGGATGGTGCAGTATTGTGTGTTGAAGCAAGTTGTGTCGGTTCTGTCCTTTTTGCAAAAATTCGTAAATAATTTGTAGAGGTATCAAGACTTGGATGTTTGAACGGGAAAATGAAGAAATTGGCGAGCATTGTGAACGATACTGCAGGGTACCAAGGGTACTGCACAAGCTTGACCCAAGAGCGATTGCTAGTTGACCAGAGTGAACGGGTGGTAGAATTGATTTGTAACTCATATGTGCTTATATCAGTCAGAATGTGAGATGACCCGATCGGGCTGCTTACATCTCCTGCCAGTCCAAGGTGGGGGCGTGAACGAAGGCCGAACGAAGGCGGAACGTTGCTGTGTTAGGGCAAGCCACAGGCCCCCGCACCCTCAACGGAGAGCACCCGCTGCCCCTTTGTGTTAGGGCAAGCCATAACATTTATGCCCCCCAGCCTCAACGGAGAGCACCCGCTGCCCCTTTGTGTTAGGGCAAGCCATAACATTTATGCCTCCCAGCCTCAACGGAGAGCACCCGCTGTCCCTCTCTCGCCTCTGTCCATGTCGGGCCTCTGTCACACACGCAACACAGACAGTGGGGCATCGATGATGTATTCTTGTCTTTTCGCAGGCGCAGAATCCCCGGCGCTGTCAGTGTACCCTTCAAAGGGTACATGAGCCTTTGCGTCGTTACGCTGGTGCGGCATTCCGCAGTAGAGATTTGATTTGAGTGTGCGTTGTGCTCCCGTTCGGGAGTTGCAGTATTGCACAGGGCGATATCGCGGACACGACGGCACTCCACCTCCGGCGAAATGATGGGTCTGGCGCGAACGGCGGCCGTTGCCGTTACGTGGTCAGGCGATTTTTTCTATGGGTACAGATTAATGAGTCTGGAAAGCGGACACCTGTGCGGTACACTACTTGTAGCTGCACCGAGGCTTCTGAGGAGTCGCGCCGTACCTGTACCAAGGGTACCCGGGTACCGTACAGTACCCTTGGTACTCTAACCGCACCGAGGCTTCTGATGAGTCGCGCCGTACAGTACCCTAACTTGGTACCCTAAGGGTATTGTACCTATGCAATACGATACTCTGGCTGCACAAGGCTTCTGACGAGTCTAGTCCTTCTGACGAGTCGCGCCGGCGTATGAGGCACCGCGCAGTATCCGTTCAGCAATGGCGCGACCTTTCCAAGATACTTTCAGATAGATATTTGCCTGCAGATTTTCCTGTAACGTTTCGAGCATTTTCATTGGGTGCGAGCACCAGTGGTCCACGGCGCACGAAACCGTGGTCACGGCCGGTCATACCTGTTCACATAATCTGCCACGTGTAGGTATCTCAGCTCAGCTCCGCGGCGAGTGATCGGGCGGGCAGCTCAAGCTTCGGCAGCGGGGCTTCTCGCGGTGCTCCGCGCCCGCACCGCAAGCGAGAGATGCGTCCCGTGAGAGCGTTCCTCCCCGGGGTGGGCGCGGAGGCTTTCCGGGGGCGGCGCGGCGTGCACGCGGCGCGCTGGACGTGCAGCGCGACGGACGCCTCCGTGGCGTTCGTGCTGTCGCACTTCGAGGCGAAGGACCTGCTGCGTCTGCGGGCGCACGCGCGCGCGGGGGCGACGTTCGAGGCCACGGGCGGGTTCTCGGTGGACATCGGCAAGCGGCGGCTGGAGAGCGTGCGCGTGCTCGCGGACGGGATCGCGGCGCCCGGCGCGGACGGACGCGTCGCGGCGACGTGGGAGGAGCTGCGCAAGATGTGCAAGAAGGGACGCGCCGGGGCGTACGAGTGCTTTAGCGACGGGGAGACGCAGGCGAGGAAGATCGCAGGGCTGAGCGAGGAGACCGGGCGGGCCGTGTCGCTGCTGCCCGTGGCCAGGGGGAAGGCGCCGACGGTGGTGATCGGCGGGTTCGGGATGCACCGCATGCGCGGGACCGAGCCGTGGGCGGACACGGAGGCGAAGATGCGGGCGGTCGGGGCGGAGTGTCTGCGCGGGGACGTGCTGGACGTGTGCACCGGGCTGGGGTACACGGCGGTGGCGGCGGGGCGCGCGGCGGCGGTGCGGCGCGTGGTGACGGTGGAGAGGGACGCGATGGTGGTGGAGGTCGGGCGGCGCAACCCGTGGTCGGCGGAGGTGTTTGCGGGGGGGAAGATCGAGCGCGTGGTGGGCGACGCCGTGGAAGTGGTGCAAGCGATGGAGGCCGGGCGGTTCGACGTGGTGGTGCACGACCCGCCCGCCATGGGCCTGGGCGGCGAGCTCTACTCCGCGGAGATGTACGCCGCGCTGCGGCGCGTGTGCAGGAAGGGCGCGCGGCTGTTCCACTACGTCGGCGACCCCGCGAGCAAGGAGAGCGGGCGGCTGTACCGCGGCGTGGAGGCGCGGCTGCGGGCGGCGGGGTGGAACGGCTTGGAGGTCGACGCGGTGGCGTACGGCGTGAGCGCGTGGGCCGAATGC